TTTAGTTTATATCCTAACATTGACAGGAATCCTTCTCTTAACTTTGCTATTTGCAGCAGGACTCTACACAGTCACCCCAAAAATTTGGTGTACACCTCACAAGCTCTCTATTTCTGTTGCTTTCTATATGAAAATACTTCTGATCACCCTTCTTGTCTACATTTAAATGCCCTATGCCTGCTTGCCTTGCCAGTTCACTGTTTTCCTCCATACCATTTTAGCTAATATCTCATAGTTCTACCCATAAACTTCTACCCTCGATTCCTTCTTTGAGTGGATAAATGACCTTGTGTGGCAAGGGACACTCCAATTCTTTCACCCGAACGAAGTTCTCCTCTTTTCTACTCACTCTTATTCCCGGTCCCATTCTGTCATTCCCTACTCCTTACTAATTACCTTCCAACCCTTACTCCCCTAATACCTGTCTTCCTTCTTTTATTCGGAGCTTGCATTTTCCAATTAGTCTTTCAGTTCCTACAAAACTGTATTCAGGCCATCACTAATCACTATATACGGCAAATGCTACTTTTAACAACCCCACAATATCACCCCTGTCCCAGGACCTCTCAGCTTCCTAAGGCAAAATGCCTTCCCAACCCTCCCCGTTCATTTGCCTGCCTTATACCCAGTCCTATTTCACAGCAGAAACACCAACACATTGCTCATGAATTCCAGGCAATGCCTGGCTAATGTCAAGATGCACCATGACACCTGGTCTCCAGAACCCACAGATATTCCTTTCAATCCAAGTCTTCTGGGACCACCCCCATCCAACCTTGGCCCAAGGCTCCATCACCACCCACCTTAAAGCTATTACGCTTCCAAGGACTTAACCAAATACTAAACTACAAGAATCACAGGCTTTTCTTTCAGGTGTCCACGCAGCCCCCTGTCATGCTAGAAGAAGCCACAAGAAACATCACCCCTACTCTCTTCTCTAACTTTTTTCTTTATACATACACAAAAAGATGGGAATGTCAGGCCTCCAAGCCCAAGCCTTGATGACCCACATGTACACCTCCCCAGGAGCAGGAAAGTCTGAGGTAACTACAAGTAACTCCAGCAAACTAGGCAGGAAATCTGTCAAGCTGCTAACTTCCTCTTACCCACTCCAGATACCCAGTCTTATAAGAACATCTTGCCCGGATGATCAATGCTGGTCAAGGACCTAACCCATCCAGCTTTTAGGTGGCTACAGAAAGAAGTGAAACAACTTGTTCCTGCCTCAACTAATTGCTGTCCCCTGCAACCTGCAACCACTGTTCCTGCTCAGCCTTGCAGAATTTCTCCCCTGGACACTGGGTTTCTCAGGACCCCCACCCCTGTAACTATGTAACTTACCACACCCTCCCCACTGCTTGCAATCGATAACCCCCACCCTTATGAACATGCCTGTTTATAATAAATGACCCTTCTACCCTTGTGACCATGCATCCCGTGATGCCCTTCCCCTCCCTAAAATAGATTACCACCCTTAACAGACCATTTGCCCCAACCTAGAAAACCAACTTCTATCCCACCACCCTCCACTGACTCTATTTTCAGACTCAGCTCACACATCCGGGTGAATAAACAGCCATATTTCTCACACAAAGCCTGCCTGGTGGTCTCTTTATGCAAGTGACGCACCTAACATTGACAACATAAAAAGCTGAAAATTTTGAAAGTCAAAAAACATCACCCCACATATTTCTTACCAGTAGGAACAAGGGGCTGGGGGCGAGAAAACTTTTACTTTGTATTATACATCCTTCTGTATTATTTAATTTATTCAGTGACTATGCATCTTTTAAAATAAAAAATACATACAATAAAACATGTTATAAATAATTAAAAGTAAATGCACTGATTATTTGACACAAATATGACAAGAGACTTAACAGTCTTAATATACAGAAGCTCATACAGATCAAAAGGAAAAGCATTAAGACCATTAAAATAAAAATGGGTAAGAAAACAATTTATACTTTGAAATGAATAAATTTTTAAATTTAAAACATGGTTAAGGATGTTAACAAAATGTTGAAAACTGAGTACAAACATGTAGTAAACAAATAAAAAATGTCTCAATAGTCAAATAAGTACAAACTAAAAGTGAGATATCTAGTGACAAGTTTAAACTAGTGAAAGAAAAGAGAAAAGTGAAATATCACTTTTTGCCAATTAGAATAGCAAGACTATTTTTAAAATTTTATAAATCTAATATTTTATCCATAGTTTGTGGGAGTATATAATTTACTTGGTAAGAAATTTGGCAATGCCAGATATCCGAAAGATTCATAGTCTTGATTAGTGATTCTATTTCTAGGAATATATTATAAGGTAATAATCACAGATATGAACAAAAATTTAACCATAATCATAACAGTAAGAAATAAATATTTGGTCTCTACCCTTGGTTCCTAACCCAGAGCTCTTAAAAGCCTTATAATTTCTTGACTGGTAGGGGTGAGGGAAGCATCTCTTGTTATAAATTTGTTATATTTGTTCTTTGACCTTCATCTATATCCTTTATAATAAACCAGTAAATATATGTGTTTCCCTGAGATGTGAGAGCCATCATAGCAAATTATCAAACCTGAGGAGGAAGGTCCTGAAAATCTTTGATTTGTAGCCAAGTCAAACAAAAGCATGGGCAACCTGAAGACTCACTAATTGCTACTGGCGTCTAACTGTGTAGTCTTAAAAATGCTTGGTGTAGAAAAGCTATACATTTAGTGTCAGAAGTGTTGCCAAAGTATAGAAAAATAGATTATTTTTCCTTTTTAATAGTGGTTCATCTGAAAATTATTTAATTGTGGAAATTATAAGGATTGAATAAGGGCATAGTTAATGGGTTACATCTATCAATAAGATGAATATAATGCTGTAATTAAAAATGTGTATGAAGGTTCAATATAATAAAAATACCAGTCTTCCATACATTAGGTATAAATTTAACATAGTTCCAATAAAAATACCTTCAGAATTCTTTTAATTGAAAAGCTGATCCTAAAACTCGAATGGGAAAATAAACAATGGCCAGGAAGACCAGGAGAGAGAAAAAGAGTAATGCGGAAGGACCAGACCTACCAGAGAGCTATGAAAACATTTTGTAAAGATGCAATAGATGCAAAAGAGCTTACTACTAGAGCATTAATAGACAAATGAAACATTATAGACACAAAATATATACATAAGTTTATTCTGTGAAAAAGATGCATCTTAAAGGAGGAAAAGATGGACTACTGAGTAAATGATAGTAAGACAACTACAAGATATAAAGAAAAAGGTTGGATCCATACCTTCCTAATATTTACCGCTTCNAAAAAAAAAAAAAAAGAAATGTAAAAAAATGTACAAGTACTACAAGAGAAAGCAGAAGGACTAGAAGAAAGCAAGGGATAATTATTATTATTATTTTTTTTTGAGGCGAAGTCTCGCTATGTCGCCCAGGCTGGAGTGCAGTGATGCGATCTCGGCTCACTGCAACCTCCGTCTCCCAGGTTCAAGCGATTCTCCTGCCTCAGCCTCCCAAGTAGTAGCTAGGACTACAGGGGTGAGCCACCACACCCAGCTAATTTTTTTGTATTTTTAGTAGAGATGGGGTTTCACCGTGTTAGCAAGGATTGACTTCGTGATACGTCCGCCTCGGCCTCCCAAGGTGCTGCAATTACAGGCGTGAGCTGCCACACCCGGCCCTGGGATAACTATTCTTTTAACACATTTAAAATGGGGAAGGTCTTTCTAAAGATTGCGCAAAATCCAGAAACCATAAAAGTAAATATTGTAAATTTAACTACACAAAAGTATACTGTAAAATTTCGGCAAGGCAAAGATTCCAAAAGCAAAGACAAAACCAAACTGGGGAAAATAATTGTGATCTATATTACAGACGAAGGACTAATCTCCCTCATGTGTCATGGCAGCTGGGTTCCCAGAGTAAGTGATGAGAGAGAGAACCCAAGATGAAATATGGAAGGTGCAAACCTTTTATAACCTAATCTCAGGAATGACATTGAGTTTTTCTTTCAAATTTTTCTGATTTGTTTCCCCGTGGTATGATTTATCTTGTTTCTTGCCTTTGTTTTTCTTATAAATTTAAAAATCAGATTTAGAAGCTTAATTAACTTTATGTTAAGCCTTTTTGCCAAGAATATTTCATATGTAGTATACTGAACTTTATGTTTCCTTTTATTAGTGAAGCAACTTTCCCAGAAGCACCACAGTGGACTTGTTCTCAAATCTAATTGGCCAGATCAGGGAAATATGCGTCCTGGACCAATCACTGGAGATGAAAGTGTAACACCCGCCACTGGGGTTCTGCTACTACACAGGATGAAGAGCGGTGATCTCAGGGTGTTAAAAAACAAAGTTGGGTGAATTGATTAGAGTTTGTAGGTCCAGAGGACAAGGTGCTCTCCCTTGCCTTTAAACAGAAACATCAACTTGGGAGTCACAAAGGGAAGTGGCCAGAGTTGAGGCAGAAAGGTAAATACAGGCCACATCATGGAGGGACCATATAAAATACACAGTAAATGCTGCCAAGTAGGAAAAGGTCATGATCAGATGGACATTTTAGAAAGAACCAGTCAGGCCACAACATGAAAAGTTTAGGCAAATCTGGAGGCAAGAGGTGTCACTGGGATTCAAGTGTAGGCTGCAACTGGCTGGGATCAGATAGTTGGTAGCAGCTAGACCCAACTCTAATATTTGAGGGGCCTGGGTAAGAGTACCAGAGGAGGCCAACATACCATGTGAACAAGTATTCAAAAGTTATAAATCAATTTAGTAAACTGTCAAAAACTCTGTCTTCCTGCCTTGATAAATACATCTTCCTAAGGACCTGAAAGGTGAGGTTTACATTGAGAATTCTGACTCCTTGGAGTTCCATGCTGGACCTTGGAGGCCCAGAAGAGTAGGCTCTGGCCTATGGCCTTCCTCGCTTCCCTTCCGTGCCCAAATAAGATTGTGGAATAACACAGATATTTTGAATGTTTGGATCTTACCCGACTACTTACTATTTATGTGAACCGAGGCACTTCAGCTTCTACAATTTTCAAGTGACAGCCATTAGGGGTAAAGTAGGAAACAAAATAATGGCTCTGCCCTTATGGAACCTAGAGGATAGTGGGAGAAAAAAAATCAGTAAGCAGGTGAGCTACAGGTAGTGGTTGATAATAGCCTACTGTGTGGCTTCTCTCAGAGATGTTTGGGCTTTTCTCCGAGAGGTGTTAGGTGGCCAGTGGTTCCCAAACAGGGCGACATTGCCAGAGGTCTTTGGGCGTGTGTGGGCGTTTGGTTGTCACCAAGCCTGGGCATTCACGTATGGCAAACTTCCAGCAACGTGTGGGAACAGTGCTGTTGTGCCCAAAGTGCCAAGGGCGCCCCTGTTGAGAAATAGTGCGAGGTGTTCTGTCCTCATGGGGGATTTGGAGTGTAGGGGTGGCGGGGCGTAATTGTGGCAGCTACTTCTTTCACCAGTGGCACCCGTCACTTCTTGTGGGTGCTCTGAAGTCACCTGTAGATGCACGTCGGGGAAGGGGAAGAGCCCAGGAGGGTTCGGACGTACTTGGGTGGGTCATTCCTGGAACCCAGGCCGAAGAGCCGCGGCAGCGGCCCAGATGCAGAGGACGACAGCGACACCTGGCTCTTCTCCGAGCGGCGTCCGGAGGCGGCCTTCCAGCGACTCAAAGGCGGGGAGCGGACCTGCAGGGGCGTGGCGGGGCGTGGCTGCGCGCCGACGGCGTGGGGTTGAAGGGCAAGCAGTGCCGGCGTCATGGCGGCCTCCGCGCAAGGCTTGGCCCGGGGGCAGCTGCGGCTCCGCACTGCCGGCCTGTGCTGCCGCCGGCTGTCTCGGGGTCTGTACGCTCGCGTGCGGCGGCTGCCCGGGCCCGAGGTGCCTGGGCGGAGCGTGGCCGCTGCCAGCGGACCGGGCGCCTGGGGCACTGACAGCTACTGCCTGGAGCTGCTGCGGTGAGCGAGCACGACCTTCCCTGGAGGGAGGTCCGGAAGCGAGGTCCGGGGGTGGGAGCGGCTGCGCCTGACGTTTGAGCCAGCGGACCAGCGCCTTCCTCGTGCCCCGCTGGGTGTGCGTTCTAGTGGGCGCCGGGTGCGGGTGTGTGGAGGCGGCGAGCCCACAGGAACATTCACGTGGGTCACAAAATTATGGCAAAATTCCTTCGAATGCCCACGCTTATCGCCTTATCTGAACCCTAATTTTAACAGAATTCAGCGTTTTTGCATGAATAATCTTTTTTATTAACAAAACATTTATTAATTTTAATGACCACGGTAGCCAACTTTCTGTGTGCCCGGCATTATGCAAAGTAGATTATGAGTAATTAGTCTTCAAGTTGCCACAGACAAATGTAGACCTATCATTTAGGGTTGTAGTAGAGGAGCATTGGAACAATGTCTGACATAAAGGCACAGTGAGTGGAAGTCATTTTAATCTCATTTAACAGGCAAGGAAACGAGGTTTTGTAGTGATTAGAGAATTTGCCAGAGGTTCACAACAATAGCCCTGTAAAGTCAAGGCCCTGAAGTGGGAAGGCCTGGCACTTGGGAGTTGCTCCTTAATCATTTGTAGAGGTGGGTTGGATTAGTCAGATCACCTGGCTCTTGCGGCAGGGGCCCTTAGGAATCCAGGCCTTACTGCTGAAAACAGTTGCTTAGCCCCTCTCCCCTTCTGCTGCGTGTCATTTGAAACAGTGGGGTAAGGTCTCAAAGTACTTGGTCTGAATGACTTACCAAAAGTACTCGAATAACTAAACTAACTTCAAGTTGATTATGCAAGTAAAACCTTTTTTAAAATATTTAAATATATTATTAGTTATTTTTGACTTCAGTCCTATGCTGGCTTTTCTCAAGTATATATACTGTATTTACAAATGGTCAGGTACTTAGCTTGTCCATGGGGGCACTTGACTCTAGTGACTTGTTTCAAAGGCTGAATTTTGCAGGCAGACCTGATTTGAGAGTATTAATCCCAGCTCTAGCACTTGGGAAAGTTACTTTAAGATTCCATTTTGGCTGGGCACCATGGCTCACACCTGTAACCTTAGCAATTTGCTAAGCTTTCCAGACCAGCCTCAGCAACATAGTGGGACCCCTTCTCTACAAAAAATAAAATTAGCCGGGCACAGTAGTATGCACCTGTAGTCTCAGCTACTCGGGAGGCTGAGAGGGGAGGATCACTTGAACAGGGAGGTTGAGGCTGCAGTGAGCCAAGATCTTGAGCACTCCAGCTTGGGTGACAGAATGAGACTCTGTCTCCAAAAATAAATAAATAAATACATAAATAAATTTAGTTTTTTCCTCATTTGTAAATGTTTGATAGCCTGGTTGTGAGGATTAAATGTGATGATATAGTAAAAAATGCTTAGCAGAGTTCAGATACTTAACAAATAATAAGTTTAAAAAATGAAAACAAACTTGAATCGAATTTCTGGCTTCTAATTGCCCATCAATAATCACTGCAAGATTTGGCCTCTGAAATTGTTTGAGCAGGGCTGTTTTGGATGTGCATTTTATGCAAGGCCTCCAAATATCAGGAAAAATACCAGGTCATGACTTCAGGCTCGCCATCTTGGGCTTTCCTAGTAATTTAGGTTCCTGGGAAAATCTCAAGCCTAATTTACATAGGTGTCTCTGTCTTTGGCCTTGAAGAGGCTAAACAGAGAGCCTCAGGCTGTAGTGAGAAGGTGAGGAGGTATTACTGGTGGTGTTGGAGTGCATGAATGTTCTTTACTCTCCTGCAGCTTTACCAGGGAATCACTTCCTTTGTGCCTCAATGGCACAGTCTAGGGTACTAACACACAAGCGTCCTAATACCCCATGTGCTTGTTTCTCATATGTCTGTCTGTCACGACTAAACCGAAGCTAGTGCCTGTCTTCAGTGTCTGGCACAGTGCCTGGCACATAGTAGGCACTGCATAAATGTTAGAATGAATGAGAGGTTATTGGCCCTATTGCCATATAAAGTTGAAATTATACATCCTTAATATGGCATTTCTCATTATCTAGGACAGCTCTCAGGTAACTGGATCTTGGTTAGATGCTTAGGACATCCTTTTATATCCATAGTTCAATAATTCATATTTATAACAATGATCCTAAGTGATGAAGAAATTCCTAATTAATCAATATATCTTGTTTAATGTGGTGAAGGGGGTAATATGGTTTAGAAAAATTTCCATCCAAAATTTAAAAAATAAATTTGTTAATAGGGCAAATCCTTAGCTGTGTAGAAGACTTTATTTTCCAAATGTTGTTACAGTTCTATCTCTTCATTTCATTTTTCATTTCCCTCTAAGAAGCTTGAAGTACTTCACATATTGCTTATTTTTAGGAAATAACTTTGATAGGTTATCAAGCCTCATTTGCAAACTGGGAAATAGGCGTGATTGGTGTTATTTCTATTAATAACCAGTTGGATGATGGAAGTTAAGATTGTAGTTTGATTCCCATTCAGTGTTTTTCTCACTATTTCATGTTAACTTCAAGTCTTTTAAACACTTCTGAAATTTGGAGACTTTTTTTTTTTTTTAAGATGGAGTTTCACTCTTGCTGCCTAGGCTGGTGTGCAATGGCATGATCTCGGCTCACTGCAACCTTCACCTCCCAGGTTCAAGTGATTCTCCTGCCTCAGCCTCCCAAGTAGCTGGGATTATAGGCATGTGGCACCGTGCCTGGCTAATTTTTATATTTTTGGTAGAGACAGGGTTTCACCATATTGATTAGGCTGGATGGTTTTGAACTCCTGACCTCCGGTGAGCTAATAGAGAACTCACTTATTCCCAAGGGGATGCACCAAGCCATTCACAAAGGATCCACCCCCATGACCCAAATATCTCCCACTAGGCTCCACCTCCAACATTGTGGGGATCACATTTCAATATGAGATTTGGAGGAGACAAATATCCAAATGTCAGAGCCCTAGCTTCTTTCAGTGGAGAATGGTTTCAGAAACCAAGATCTGGGTGCTAGGTGTGTTCATTAATACAGGAATGTGGGGTGGGGCCTGGGGTTATTGTTACTTCTAGGCTCTTTCAGCAGATGCTGCAAGGAAATATATATCTGTGCACAGTCTGACATGAGTTTTGATATCTTATCTCTGCCTTTCTATGTATCTGTCTATCTATGTCTTAAAAACCATAAATTCAGCCCAATATTTGCTCGAACTATTTTAACTTGATTTGTACTTTTAAGCTCATTTGAATTCTTACTAAAACAAAAGTGATTCTAAGACAGTTAAAATGATATGTACTAGATAAGTCAAAATAAATTGATAGAGATTAGGTGGCATTAGGGTACATTTTTCATAATTTTTGAGAAACAGATGTAAAAAAGAAGACATGTCAGACCTTTCCTGACCTGAAGCCTCACATTGTTGTTGTTTTTTGAGACAGAGTCTTGCTCTGCCTCCACCCAGGCTGGAGGACAGTGGCACAATCTGGGCTCACTGCAACCTCCACCTCCTGGGATCAAGCAATTCCCGGGCCTCAGCCTCTCAAATAGCTGGGGTTACAGGCACGTGCCACCATGCCCAGCTAATTTTTGTATTTTTAGTAGAGAAATTTTTAGTAGAGTATTTTTGTAATTTTGTATTTTTAGTAGACCAGCCAGGCTGGTCTCGAACTCCTGGCTTCATGTGATCCACCCGCCTTGCCTCCCAAAGTGCTGGGATTACAGGTGTGAGCCACTGTGCCCAACCTGAAGCCTTTTTGTTTTCAGTTAATTTTGGTCAGTATTTTTATGTGCAGCTTGGAAAGTGAGGAATAACTGTCTTTTTTTTTCTGTCTGTTACAGGAAACGGGATTATGAAGGTTATTTATGCTCCCTGCTGCTCCCTGCAGAATCCCGAAGCTCTGCTTTTGCACTGAGGGCCTTTAATGTGGAACTGGCTCAGGCTGGTATTAAGATCCCTTAAAATACTATTTGTGAAATGGTGATGTGATATGTTTAATGCCGAACAATCAAGAAATACAGTTGTAGTTTATATGTTAGATGTGTTTAATGTCTCTACTAGTGATTTCTTTTCCCTGCCAATTGTTTAGGCTTAATAATTCAGTACCAAAAATAAAACTAGCTAATGAACTTAATGTTTCCAGAAATGCCCTCGAAATTTGTTATTTCTCTTCCTGAGGCTATTATAAAACCGTGCCATTAACATTGCACATTTGTCTGTTAATTAAATAGATTAGTCAGAAAATTACTGCTTATTCTTTCCAACAATTACATAATTTACACGTCTATAGCAGTTTTTCAAAGCCCTTTTTAAATTGAGGTTTTAGCTTTAATGTGAATAGGGAATGAAAGCAATTGTAGCAAACTAGGACCTTAGATCATATTAACTCACTTTTGTCTTAAGAGTTCCAAAGGAAGGAGAGATCCTTCTTTTTTCTTCTTTAAAATGGAAAGAATATGTACGAATACAAAATAAATTGAAATGGAGGATGGAGATGAGGGAGTGAAAAGTGGAATAGCCTTAGTCGTCTCGGTAATAAATTGAGAGGTCAGATACTGGGAGTGAGGGAGCAGGAGAGGATTCAGAGTCTTGAAGAGAGCAGCAAATTTTGACACAGCTCTTCTGGGGAATATGGTAGGAAGTGAACAAGGAACAAATAAAAGGATGTGAATATGGCACCGAGGCACAACTGAGATTCACAACCATGAATCTGCAGTGTCTTATAGACTGGCTCTTTTTGCCTCTGCTATCTTCCTGGAAGTCATGGGTCATGATTTTTCACCTCATCATTTTTCAAGTGTAAACTCTACATCAGCATGTTAAGTCAGTCACAGTTTAGCCATAAATAGTTCCTACCTTGGTATTTATTATCCTTTTTAAATGATTAAAATCTAATTTTTTAATTTTAAATTTTAGAGACAGGTCACCGAAGTTGGAGTGCAGCGGCATGATCACAGCTTATTGCAACCTTGAACTCCTGGGCTTTAAGCCATCCTCCCACCGCAACCTCCCAAGTAGCTAGAACTGTAGATGTGCCACTGTGCCTAGCTAATTAAAAACAATTTTTTTTTTTTTCTTCAGAGACAGAGTCTTGCTATGTTGCCCAGGCTGGTCTCAAATTTCTGGCCTCAATCATTCTCCTGCCTCAGCTTCCCAAAGTGCTGGGATTACAGGCAGAAGCCACTGCACCCAGTCAATACAATTTTATTTTTAATAAATAAACTGCAGAGTTCCTTCTGAATTCTTGTCTCTTTGTACCTCTTTGTACTTCTTTGTATACTTTGTACATCTTGCTACTTCTTTTCACACGGAATCTTGTTTATTAACTCATTCAACAAATATTGATTGAGTGCAGGGACTTTATATAGACTATATTCAATGCTATTCCCACATAACATAAAACCGGGTCTGCACTCAATGAACAAATAAAGAATTCTGTAATGTATCAGATGGAGACTAGTGCCATGGAGAGAAATAAAGCAGGATAAGGAGGCTGTGAAGGCTGGGTGCGCCTGGGTTCCTATTTTATGTAGAATAGTTAGGAGAAACCTCATGGAGAAGGTGGCATTGGAGCAGAGATTTGAAGGAGGTGAGGGAGTGAGTTGTACCGATATGCTGGCAAAGAGTATTCTGGGCAGAAGGAACAGCAAGTGCCAACTCTCTGACTTGCAAGTGTGCTTAATCAAAGAACAGAAGAAGGTAGGCAGTTCAGCAGAGCAGGGAGGAGTGCCTGGGTGGAGATTTGGTTAGGGGCTCCTGGGTCAGAAAGGTCTTGGAGACACCATTACAGTCACTTTGGCTGAGTGAGATGGGAAGCCACTGGAGGATTCTGAGCAGAGAGACGTCACCTCTTGGTTATATTTTGAAAGGATTACTCATGTTGCTGTCTTGCTGTACTGTATGCTACTGGGTTATGAACATGAAACATTGCTAAGAAACCCACCCACCACCAGGATATTTGGAAATAATTTCATATATGGAAAAGTAAGAGTAGTACAAAGAATACTCACAGACCCTGTTGTTAGTATTCTGTCCCATTTGCATTATCATTCTGTCTACATAGGTATACATACACATTTCTCTTTTTATGAATCATTTCAGAGTAACTTGACTATACCATGACCCATATCCCTATAGACTTGAGTGTGCATCTCATAGGAATAAGGACATTCTCTTATATAACCACAGTACCCTTATGAAAAAAGAAACTTAACATTGATGCAGTACTTTTATTTGATCTACCATGTGGTTTCTGGTTTTGTCAAATGACCCGATAAGGTCCTTTATGGCATTATTTTCCCCTTCTGTATGGGATCTAATCTAGGATCATGTATTGCATTTAGTTTTCTGTCTCTTTAGCCTCCTTTATTCTAGAACATTTCCATAGCCTTTCTTTGCAGTTTGTGACATTGACATTTTTTAAGCAATACTGTTCCTTTTAAAAATTAGAATGGTTCTCACTTGGGATTTATTTTATATTTCATCAGGATTGTATTAAACTTACAGATTCCTAGTCTAATATTACCTAAGTGGTCTGTGTCCTCTTCAGAATCACAAGGAGGCATGAAATAGCCATCTGCCTCTCTGTGGTAATGTTAATTTTAGTCACTGAGTCAAGATGTTAATACTTTTTGCCTTGCTACTAATAGGCAGCCTGTGAGCAGACCTGTTAAGACCATGTTCCTTATCAAAATTTACCTCCTAGATTTAGCTTGTGTTGGTACTTATTGCCTGAGTCTAAGAAGGCCATTCTTTTTTTCTTTTTTTGAGACGGAGTTTCACTCTTGTCACCCAGACTGTGGTGCAGTAGCGTGATCGTGGCTCACTGTAACCTCCACCTCCCAGAGTCAAGCGCTTCTCCTGCCTCAGCCTCCCGAGTAGCTGGGATTATAGGTGCCTGCCACCACGCCCAGCTATTTTTTTGTATTTTTAGTAGAGACAGGATTTCATCATGTTGGCCAGGCTGGTCTCAAACTCCTGACCTCATGTGATCCACCTGCCTTGGCCTCCCAAAGCGCAGGAATTACAGGTGTGAGCCACTGCACCTGGCCAGAAGGCCATTTTTTTTTTTTTTTTTTTTTTTTTTTTTTTTTTTTTTTGAGACGGAGTTTCAGTCTTGTTACCCAGGCTGGAGTACAATGGTGCAATCTCGGCTCACCGCAACCTCCGTGTCCTGGGTTCAGGTAATTCTCCTGCCTCAGCCTCCTGAGTAGCTGGGATTACAGGCATGCGCCACCATGCCCAGCTGATTTTTTGTATTTTTAGTAGAGACGAGGTTTCACCATGTTGACCAGGATGGTCTCGATCTCTTGACCTCGTGATCCACCCGCCTCGGCCTCCCAAAGTACTGGGATTACAGGCGTGAGCCACCGCGCCCGGCAGAAGGCCATTCTTAATCAGTAATGAGTGAGGGAGACAATGTTATAATCTTCTTTTTAAAAATTACTTAAAGAATGAATCAGTGAATTTATTTAAAAATACATGCAATAAAATTCACTCTTTCTTGTATTCTATAGTTCTAAAAAATGTAGTTATGTGTTTACCACCATAGTCATAATATAGAACAGTTACATTAACTCAAAAAATTTCTTCAAAAATACTGATTTTTTTTAGGCAGTAGACGATGCATTTGCTAAAGTTTTAAAATCCTACTTATAGGTTAAAGACTCGATCTCTGAGAAAACAATTGGACTGATGCGAATGCAGTTTTGGAGGAAAACTGTGGAAGATATATACTGTGACAATCCACCACATCAGCCTGTGGCCATTGAACTATGGAAGGTAAAAACAACAACAACAACTACTACTTTTAATTTGTAGGAATATTATTCGAGACTACTTTTTGATGGATATAATTTGGATGCTGGTGATTATAGTGCAGTCTATCCTGAAAATATTTTTAGGCTTGTATATTCAGATCTATGTTAGTTTTGGCAGAGAGGTTTAAAATTACCCACTGATAATTTATACAGGTCTTTTGTGGATTTGGTTATTAAAGGAAAAAGGAAGAATCTGATAGCTATATAATAACTTACTTTTGTATTTTCCATATTTCCATATTTGCCTGCAGAATTTAAATCCCACACATTTTATGCTGTAACAGGTAAAATTTTCTGTTTTCTCTGCCTAGCAGGAGCTCCTTATACCGGTGTTTTAATCCAGATTCCGGGCTGTAGAACATGTGTTAATCCTTTGTGAAGGGAGACTTGCTCTCAGTGTTGTCCAGATACAAATCTAAAACTCCCTTGTCTAGGTGATAGGATTACCTATCCATTGTTGAGTTTTAGGTGTTAGAGAATGGAAACCTATGGGCTAGAGTATTATTTATATAGCTAAATGTATATCATAAATGGTTTTATAGTAAAGCAGCTGTATGGATCCCTCACTCATAAGCAGCCACACATGGCTTAGAAATATTCTAAACTGTGAGAGGAGGAAGGGAATCAGGTATCTTTCCTCACTGATCCGTGTCCCTGTTGTAATGCAATGATTGCCAAAAGAGGGTTTCTGTAACAGGAGCCCTGACAGTGGCACACCTCTTCTCAGGTCTACGTACCAGCAGAGGTAGGCCCAGTTTCTGGGCCCCAGATTGACTTCACAGAGCCCCAGTAAAGATGAAAAGCCAGACCCCCCCAACAACTGGGGATTGAGAAGAAAAATTGGATGGGAAGCTGTGAGTATTAGATTAGTTCTTTACCTCTGTTCATCCCACTTCAAGAAGCTCAACCTAGGTGACACACTAAAGTTTCCCTGGCTGGGTGCAGTGGCTCACGCCAATAATCCCAGCATCTTGGGAGGCCTGGGCGGGTGGATCACCTGAGGTCAGGAGTTTGAGACCAGCCTGACCAACATGGAGAAACCCCGTCTCTACTACAGATACAAAATTAGCCAGGCGTGGTGGCTCATGCCTGTAATCCCAGCTACTTGGGAGGTTGAGGCAGGAGAATCGCTTGAACCCGGGAGGCAGAGGTTGTGACGAGCCAAGATCGCTCCATTGCACTCCAGCCTGGGCAACAAGAGCGAAACTCCGTCTCAAAAAAAAAAAAGTGTCCCTAAAATCCAGAAACCCCTTCTATTTATTATTTTACACGTAAACTGGAGTATAGTGGAGGTGTATGTTAAGACTTGCATAAAAGGTTTTGGCCTTTGTTGGGAAATATGTGGAAAATTAGAGAGTCCTTTGATGCAAATTTATCTGTCCTTGGCTTCTCTTAAAAAAACGGAAGATATACCTCCATTACAGAAGGTTTACATCTGTGCCAGTTTAGGATTGCTAAATTGTCCAATTTTAATAGCTGCTTACATTTTGATAGTTAGTGCTGGCTACCTTTCGGACATGAGCAGAGTTGAAGCTTAATGTGAATATTTGAAAGACACAGGTCGTGTTTAGTGCAGTTGTCCTTGTTGTGTGTTCTCTATCCTTCCCCATCCTGCTGGAGCATATAGTGAATATTGGGTATTTGAAGCGTTGGGTTCTTGAGAAGATTAAATAGAGGGAACAGTGACAATGTGTTATCCAGAGAGCACTTTTCTACTGCACTGTTTCCTTGGTATTTTTAGGGTATAAGATAGTTGAATATTTATAATTTCTTATATATTCTATATGGGTTCCCCATTTCTCTGTATATGAATTTTGGCTGCCGTTTGAATTTATGTTTATAGTCAAGGTCTTTATTATATTGGACTTCAGTTTCCAGAGTTCAAATTACATTCAGCAAATTTCTTTTTTTTTTTTTTTGAGACGTAGTTTCACTCATGTTACCCAGGCTGG